TGAATCACTGAATAATATTTCTAATTATGAAATTGAAGCTTTTTATTTTTCTGTATAGCAGATTTTATTGTATTCACTTGAAACTAAAGCAAGTTATTTTATATATTTTAATAAGATCAGAATGTGACAAGTATGTGTCTGGATGGATTTTATTTCCATACTCTTGGAGAGAAGGCCATAACTTGAAAAATGACTGGAAAGAAAGTGATTTTTTATAGTCATTATTAAGAAGAGACTATTATTATAGTAATTATTTAGTAAAGTAAGTTTCCTTTAACTTGATATATTTCTGTGTAACCAGTGAATTCACAAGTCATTTAAGCCTTGTGAATATATTTTAAGTGTTTAAAATCTATTTCAAAGGCTTAACCAATAAGATATATCTGATAACCAAGCACCATTCTGTGCACCAGAGATACACACCTGAGTGACAAACTCACAATTCTTTGTGCGTGTATAATTTATGTTTCAGCAGTTCTTTCCCCAGCTGCTCAGAAATTCTCTGCACTGTTCTTCACCCTTGACGTACACACATTCTTATACCCAGAGAGTTTTTTCAGCGTTCTCCTGGGATTGATTGTGAGTGATTCTGGTCTGTCTTTTCATGCTGTCTGTGGGGTGGTCGTTTTCTCTTGCTCAGGTTCCTCTGCTGGGAAGACTCCCATACCCACTCACCGTCCAGCCCTGCATGTGTGGAGTGCTGGCTGCCTGCTGAGCGCCATGCTTGGGGGTGCTCACTGCTGCTCATAACAGGTGTCCCAGACTGCTGGGACACCAATTATTATTATTTTTTTTTTCAAGAGAAAGAAAGAGAAAGAATTAAAAAAAAAAAAAAAAAAAGGGAAAAGAATAAAGGAAAAGGAGGAAGAGGAAGAGGGGGAGAGAACAGGGATGTTGCTTTATTGCCCGGGCTAGAATGCAGTCTAAAACTGGGTATGCCTGTAATTGTGTTTAATAATAGACATAAAAAAAAAAAAAAAGAGGGAAGAAAATAATTAACAACTAGCCAACTAATATTTCATTTAAACCTGTAAATACGTGTGATGAAGTACTGATAAGAGTGTATATTTTGTGTATTTAAAGTGGAGAGTTCTATGAATGTTAATTAAGTCTACTTGTTCCGGATCTGAGTTCAAGTCCTGAATATCGGTGTTAACTTTCTGTCTCATTGATCTGTCTAATATTGATGCTGAAGTCTCCCACTATTATTGTGTGGGAGTCCAAGCCTCTTTATAAGTCTTATATATCTGGGTATTTCTGTATTGGGTGATCTTTAGCTCTTCTTGTTACATTGATCCTTTTATCTTTATATAATATCCTTCTTTGCTTCTTTTGATCTTTGTTGCTTTGAAATCTATTTTATCAGCAAAAATTGCGACTCCTGCTTTCTATTTACTTATTTTTGCTCTCCATTTGGTTGGTAAATTTTTCTCCATCCCTTTGTTTTGAGTCTTTGTGTATCCTTGCATGTGAGATGGATCTGGATGTAGCAAACCAATGGGTCTTGGCTTTTTTTGCCTGTCTGTGTCCTTGGATTGGGGGATTTAGTCGATTTAAATTTAGAATTAATAACAATATATGTGTGTTTGATACTGCCATTTAATGTTAGCTGGCTGTTTTGCCCATTAGTTGATGCAATTTCTTAATTATGTTGATGTTCTTTATATTTTGGTATTTTTTAGAAAGGCTGATACTGGTTGTTCCTTTCTATTTGTAGTGGTTCTTTCAGAAGCTCTTGTAAAGCAGGTCTGGTGGTGATGAAATCTCTGAGTGCTTGCTTGTTCACAAAAGATTTTATTTTTCCTTCGCTTATGAAGCTAGTTTGGCTGGATGGAAAATTCTGGGTTGAAAGTTCTTTTCTTTAAGGATGTTGAATATTGGCACCCACTCCCTTCTGGCTTGTAGGGTTTCTGCTGAGAGATCTGCTGTGAGTCTGATGGGCTTCCCTTTATGGGTAACCTGACCTTTCTCTCTGGCTGCCCTCAGTATTTTCTTTCATTTCAACCCTGGTGAATCTGGCGATTATGTGCCTTGAGGTTGGTCTTCTTGAGGAATATTTTTGTGGTGTTCTCTGTATTTCCTAGAGTTGAATATTGTCCTGCCTTGCTAGGTTGGGAAAGTTTTCCTGAATAATATCCTGAAGCGTATTTTCCAGCTTGGATTGATTCTCTTCGTCACATTCAGGTACACCTATCAAACGTAGATTAGGTCTTTTCACATAGTCCCATATTTCTTGAAGACTTTGCTCGTTCTTTTTTATCCTTTTTTCTCTAATCTTGTCTTTTTGTTTTATTTCATGAAGTTGGTCTTCGACCTCTGATATCTTTTCTTCTGCTTGATCAATTCGGCTGTTAAAACTTGTACATAGTTGGCGAGGTTCTCGTGTTGTATTTTTCAGCTCCATTAATTCACCCCCAAGCATGGCGCTCAGCAGGCAGCCAGCACTCCACACATGCAGGGCTGGACGGTGAGTGGATATGGGGGTCTTCCCAGGAGAGGAACCTGAGTAAGAGAAGACGACTACCCCACAGACAGCATGAAAAGACAGACCAGAATCACTCACAATCAATCCCGGGAGAACTCTGAAAAAACTCTCTGGGTATAAGAATGTGTGTACGTCAAGGGTGAAGAACAGTGCAGAGAATTTCTGAGCAGCTGGGGAAAGAACTGCTGAAACATAAATTATACACGCAAAAATTGGGACACCAATTCTTGTTTAGGTGGACACAACTTTTGACATAGGAGGCTTGCAGGTAACACGCTCCACGCAGCATTCTGTGGAGAAGTTGAGGAGAATGCCTTTCTCCTATTTTCTGTTCTGGTAGAGAGATCACAAAGCACTCTTAAGTGTGTGTCCCCAGTGTCTTCTGTGAGTACATCCTATTCGTTTTCATCATGGCCTCTCTCTCCCTGGGACCCCTGGGGAATGGAGCCATGAAGAATCCCAAGTGACAGACTGCCTACTACACTTAACGTTACTCCTCTCACGTTCAGTTAGTGCTTTGTTACTGAGACAGCCCTGTCAGCATCTGACACTCCACCCATGCACCTCCTTAGAATGAGCTCCCTCTCAAGCGTAGCTCAGGTTCTGCTGTAAAGGGGACTGTCCTGCCAGTGTGCAGAGGATTCTGAAGCCAAAACGTGAGCCAGTGGCAACAGCCACCATGTGCAGATGGAACAGATGAATGAATGCACACATGCCCTGTAGCACATTAGAAAATGGTTTAAAAGATATTCATGATGTTAATAATATTTTAAACTTTGGTATTTACCTCTTAAAAATCTAAAACAAAAAGCTTTGTTTTGGGTTTTACTAGTTGGCTTCTACTGAGTCATGATGTGTATATTTTTCGTATTACTGCTGTCTCAATATCTCTGCTTTAAAATAGTGATAACTTTCCCAAAGCTTTCTCCATGTTTCTGTTCTCTCTTCCTGTTCTCCTACACTCTTTACTTGCCAAATATACATTAAAACTCCTACAACTCTGACACCCCTCTGAACCTGCAGAATAGTGTTGTCAAAGGAAAAAGAGGTTGAAAGACCTTTGAAGTTTTCTAGCCCCATTCCTGTGTGATTCTAAACTTGTTCATTAAAAGATGCTTTTCACAAATGCTTATTGAGAGCTCAGTAAAGAAAATCTTGACTAGTTTGGGAGAACGAGAGGGGCCAGGGAAAACCAACATGCAATCCCGGCAGAGGGAAGAACACATGCAGTGGCACACGCAGAGAGAACAGGATGCACTGGAGGAACTCCAAGTAATTAGATATGCCTGGAGCAAAAAGGACATCTGAGGATTTGGAAGGAGCAGAGACTTAGCAAAGTGGGTGGAGGTCATCGCATTCTGGCCCATTCTGCCAAGGGAATTAATACCAATTGTTTTAAGTTCTTCAGGTTTTATGTGAGATAAGAATGCTAGTTCCTCTTGTAACATACAGTTGTAACATACAAGGAATTGAGATTAAGATGCGTATTGTATACATCCAAACTCCTATAGCACACCGTCCACTGAGATGGACTCTCCTTCCACTGAGCTCTGCACTGTGTTAGTTCCATCATATCCAAACATCGATAATAGTGACTAACCACACTTGTAATGATAAAAATGAGTTCGTCGCAGGACCGTGCTTGCTTTAGAGCTGCGATTTTTGTATATATTTAACCTACTAGGGGGAAAAATGCTTTTTTACTGTTAACGCATGGCAATCTGACCAACAATCAGGACAGACGATTCCACATCCACTGAGGGAAGACCCTCATGCGTTGGTTTGTTTGGGTTGAATAAAATCCTTCTCTTACTGTGGGGATGGAGTCATCTTATTCCTCTGAGGTATGTTAGCATATAAAGCAGAATGGAGTAACTAGAGAGCTAAAGGACCCTCTTGTACGCCTTCCCTGAGCGTCTGGGAAACACCCATATGGAAATATTAGACAGTGACTGGCTTTACTGATGTTTTGAAGATAGTTGGATTCTGGTAGCTTAGCATATGTAATGGTGAACTTCAAGATTTATCCAAACACTTACTGCCAATTACTATAGAAAGTTGGGCTGATTACTATTATCACTAATCTGTTTGTGTCGATATAAAATAATATATATGTGATGAAAATTTAAGTTACTTTTCACTTAGTTAAGAATTCCTCAAATAGGTTCATACTTTTTAGTCCTTTTATATCATAATATCATCTCATTTCTCTCACCTTTTATTTCAAGTGGGTAGGAAGAAACCAACCTATTGGAAACTGAGTTTTTTAAGACTCAAGGAGGATTTATACAACTTTCCTCTATAAGTCATTTTGCTAACAGTTTTTTCCTTAGTTTTTAGTTGTGATATTTTAATTATACAATTAATATATTGATAGTGATTTATTGTTAAAAAGTAAAATGATTTAAGCTGGGTGTGGTGGCTCATGTCTGTAATCCCAGCACTTTGAGAGGCTGAGGCAGGTGGATCACCTGAGGTCAGGAGTTTGATACCAGCCTGGCCAACATGGTGAAACCCTGTCTCTACTAAAAATACAAAAATTAGCTAGACGTGGCAGTGCATACCTCTAATCCCAGCTACTCAGGAGGCTTAGGTGGGAGAATCGCTTGAACCTAGGAGGCAGAGGCTGTAATGAGCTGAGATTGTACCATTGCACCCCAGCCTGAGCAAAGAAGTGAGACTCTGTCT